GCCACGGTCGCCAAACTGTGGAAAGAACCAAGATGCCCTTCAATGGATGAATGGATAAGGAAGATGTGGTCCATATACACTATGGAATATTATGCCTCCATCAGAAAGGATGAATACCCAACTTTTGTAGCAACATGGACAGGACTGGAAGAGATTATGCTGAGTGAAATAAGTCAAGCAGAGAGAGTCAATTATCATATGGTTTCACTGATTTGTGGAGCATAACAAATAGCATGGAGGACAAGGGGAGTTAGAGAGGAGAAGGGAGTTGAGGGAAATTGGAAGGGGAGGTGAACCATGAGAGACTATGGACTCTGAAAGACAATGAAGGTTTTGAAGCGGCAGGGGGTGGGATGTTGCGGGAACCAGATGGTGGATATTAGAGAGGGCACAGATTGCATGGAGCACTGGGTGTGGTGCAAAAACAATGAATAAAGTTATGCTGAAAATACATTAAAAAATTTTAAAAAAATAAATAATTGAAAAAAAAAAACAAAGAAGGAAGCAAACCAGAAGAGACTCTGAATTGTAGAGAACAAACAGAGGGATGTTGGAGGAGAGGTGGGTGGGGGATGGGCTAAATGGGTGATAGGTATCAAGGAGGACACTTGTGATGAGCATTAGGTATTATATGTAAGGGATAAATCACTGAATTCTACTTCTGAAACTAATACTATGCTATATGTTAAGTATCTTTAATTTAAATAAAACCTTGGGAAAAACCCAAGAACCCCCCCACAAAGTGACAGAAATGATGCAGTAATATTTGTAGTAGAACACCCATATATCTTTATTCTGGCACTCTTGCTGATGTGCTACTCAATTTATTTTACTATACAACCTCCTTTATTTTCTCCCAGTTCTAGAGTCAGTACTGTCTCTTCAAATGATCAGTCATTAGGCATCCTCATCTTCCCTTTCCTTTTTAAAATTTGAATTCAGTAGCTAACATATAATACATAATTAGTTTTTTATTATATTCAATTAGCTAACACATAATACATCATTAGTTTTTGCTGTAGTGTTCAGTGATTCATTAGTTGCATTTAACACCCAGCGCTCATCACATCATGTGCATTCTTAATGCCCATCACCCAGATATCCCTCCCCTCCACCTCCCTTTATACAACCCTCAATTTGTTTCCCGAAGTCAAGAGTCTTTCATGATTTGTCTCCCTCTCTTATTTCTTTCCATTCTGTTTTCCTTCTCTTGCCCTATTATCTACTGCACTATTTCTTATATTCCACATATGAGTGAAACCATATGATAACTGTCTTTCTCTGCTTGACTTATTTCATTAGCATAATACCCTCCAGTTCCATCCATCTCGATGTAAATGGTAGGCATTCATCCTTTTTTTTAAAAAAGATTTTATTTATTAATTTGACAGAAAGAGAGAGAGAGAAAGAGAGACAATGAGAGGAGTACAAGCAGCGGGAGTGGGAGAGGGAGAAGCAGGTTTCCTGCTGAACAAGGAGCCTAATGTGGGGCTTGATCCCAGGACCCTGGGATCATGACCAGAGCTGAATGCACACACTTAATGACTGGGCCACCCAGGTGCCCCAAGCATTCATCCTTTCTGATGGCTGAGTAATATTCCATTGTATATGAACCACATTTTCTTTAGTGATTCATCTGTTGAAGGAATCTTGTGTCTTTTTTTTTTTTTTTTACTGCTCCAGTCCTTCAATAAACTTTATTACCAATTCTTGCATGAGATTTGCTCTGTTCAATATATAGACACCTTCATCAAATAGGTCAGGGCTCATCTCAACAGATACAATTTTCTGCATATGTGTGTCCATCTCCAGTTCCTGCAACTGAATCTCTTCCTTTTCCTCTCTGATGGTCTCTTGGGTTTTTTTCCCAAGACCTCTCTGATGGTCTCTGATGAGACAGCGTTGACTGACCCATTTTGGAGAGGTGGAGAGAGATGGTATGACCTCCCTCCCCAGTGAAGATGCACCTAGTGCACTGAGAACTGCGTATGGTCCTTGAGTTTTTAACAAATAAGTGTGTGCGTGTGTGTGTGTGTAATGGCAGGGGGAACTTTCAAGATGTGGGTCCTGGGCAAGGGTCCTTTTGCCTGGGCCTAAAGGCATCACAGACCCTGAGGTGCTGGGAGAAGGAAGAGAGGAGGGACTCATTATGATTTTTGTAAGTCTTATGTAGTTTGGGTCAGTTTCCATAAAAAGCATATTAAATACCATATCTTACAACTGTGTCAGTATAAAGGCGGACATACTCCACTCTGGTTCATTGGTATCTATTCATTATTACTACAGTCACTTTTGGTTAATATTTTAAAATAATGTGTAACATTTTTGTAGAATCCTAAAAGTATTGTCAGCCTAATTCTGTGTATGTGTTATGCCTGGTAGAAGTCATCCCTGATTGAAGCTGAGAAACAATCCTGAGGAAGGACCTGGGGTCTCCTAGGGTGACAGGATAGCCCATGAAGGAATACAAAAGCGACCCCTGAGCAGTGAGCAGAAGGGGTGGCAATAACTTATCTCTGGTGACAGGAATGCGGGGATGGATAAAAATAGGGTATAGTATAAACAGTAAGTGTAAAAACTGCTGGCTTTGCCTTATTCCTACAGAACACACACATTTCCTGCAACCTACCTGGCTGGGTTGGTCATGTAGTGGAGAGACAGGACCACATTGTCACTTGCAGGGACAGGACTAGGGGCACGCACACAATTTCAGGGGGCAGACCCTATATTAGTAATTACGGCAAATTATGTTTTGATGAAATATTTCAAAACTCAAAATGAATGCTGAGACACAGATGAAGACTACAGTATCTCAGGGACCTGCATGCTGCCCAAACTCTGGAACGTAAGTCCTGAGATTTTCACACATGGTCCTGAGGGAAATGGGGGCCAGGAAGGTGAAAGATCACATTTTCAGAGAGAGGATCCTGTTGGGCTACACATGGGGAGGACCAAAGTGCTTTTCACATTCCTCAGTCCTTCATCCATGTGCTCTCCAACGAATTATGTATGAGCATGTGTGTACATGTGCATGTGGGCACATGCATGTGTGAGTGAAGAGGCTCCCTAAAGCAGCTATTTTTGATCAGACAATACAAGAAGATTTTTCCATTTGCAGATACTTTATTGAAATGAAAATGTACTTGAGGTTTCAACAATTGTCTTGCAGTTAATAGATCAAAAGACAAAAAAGGAAAAGAAAGTTGTGGTTCCTATTAATCAGAAGTCAGTTTCTGTCCATTCTCTATGGTCCTCAGTGCCCAAGGTCATGTGCAAGGTTAAAATGCAGCACACCACTTACTTTCATATATTATGTTCTGGAAATCAAAAACAGAGATGTGCATCATCAGTTTCAACAAAGAATTGTAAGTCTCCTCTCAAATACAAGGAAATGTGACGTTTTTAAGGTCAGGTATGGCTTTACATGTTAGAGATACCCCAAACAGTCTGATACCAAAACTATTACCTTTGAGACCCAGAAAAGAATGGATATGTGCACTCCAATTGATGAATCTAATCAAGGTTTTTAAAGAAAAAATTCCATTATCCTTGGTTGCAGGGTTTTTCAGGCTTTAAACTGTTTAAACTCATGGTAAATACACATAAACTGATGGTAAACACACATAACATAAAATTGACCATTTTCATCATCTTAAGTATACAGTTCAGCAGTGTTAAGTATACTGGTGTTGTGGTGCAACCAATCTCCTAAACATTTTCATCTTGCTTTGGTGAGACTCTATACCCACTGAATAATCCCCATTTCCCATACCACCCTGCTCCTAGAAAGTACTATTCTACCTCCTGTCTCTAGGAGATTGGGTACTTTAGAAAATGGATATAAAAACCTCATGCAATAGTTGTCTTCTTTTACTGGCTTATTTCCTTTACCGTAATGTGCTCAAGGCTCATCCATGTTGTGCCCTGTGTCAGCATCTCAGTGAAGGACACTTTAACCTTTTGCTCTGGCTATATTTCTCCATTGTCTACCCTGGAAGGTTTTCAGTGGCATATTAGGATAGGGAATAAAATATAGAGAACCGACACAGGACTAATAGTTGTTTTACATAAGTCCACCCCCATGGCTGATTCATACCCTTGACCTCTCTACTTGTCATTCATGGTATCTTAAAGTAATAGTCAAGGAATCCAATCACTTATACTAGCACATTGGGATTTCTTGAAAGTGCATTTAAAATTTTTTTAATAAGTACAGGATCTTTTTCACCTGGGTTCTTCTGGATTCTCTTAAAAATTCTTATGAATAGTTTCCTCTTTGTTTCTAAGAATAAGGGTATCTTTTTTGCTGATGACTTCAAGTGGGGTCCTTATTGAGAATCAGATGTTTTTTACCTTGATAGAAAATGTGTGCGTGTATGTGTTTGTGTGTGTGTGTGTGTGTGTGTGTGTGTGTGTATGCATGTGTGTGTTTTTTCCCTGCTTTGGCCTTTTTCATTAATTTTTCCCTAAAGAGTCCACAAAGTGAAGAGACAAGTCAGCATTGGGACCTTGGCTGACTTTCTGGATGCACCCACAATTTCACATGCACCCACTATTTCACATGCACCCACAATTAAATTCACTGAAATAAAATAAGGCCTGTGTAACACTTGCTGTGGCACAATGAGTGACAAACTTAGAGCCTGCTTGTCCCTGTCCAGTGGTTTGAAAGTTCATTAAAAGAAGCCATAGTTACCATCATCTCTTCAACCCTGCTCAGAGTTTCGTCATACTGGATGAGAAAACATCCTTTCAGTTGTGCTAGGGCCTTATCAGTGCCAGGACCATCTGAGAAGGGTTTCAGGAAAGTTTGGTATTCATCCGTGCTCACTTGAGAATCGATTGTTTTGTTAACCACCTTTTCTAAAAGTGGGCATCCAGAACCTGGAGGAAAACTTGCAAGTGAGGTCTCAATTGTGTAAGTGTGAAGCTCTTTTTGGGAGTCCTGAGGACATCAGTCATCTTTTCCCATCTAAATAGACACATACATTTAGAAAGATTACACTGAATGGTCTTGAGTTCCCAATTCTAGCCGACTGAACTCAGGATCTAAGATTTCCTTTAAGTCCCAAAACATGTATGCCCCCCCGCCACACACACACTATTCCAAAGTCCAGAGAAGCAAAACGCTGGTAATCATGAAACACGAAGACACTGGAGAAATGAGATGTTCTGCACTGGAGTTTGGGGGAACAGGAGGTCTTCCAGAGGGACCTGACACGATCTTCACCCTAAAAGTTGCCCTCCCCACACAGGACCTACCTGCAAAGCAGTAAAGGGGGAGGGCAATCAGCACAAGGACTCTCAGCAACTTCATAGTTGAGCACATGGTTGGCTGATCAGACAGGGAGGATAGAACTAACTCTGGTAGTGAGCACCTAGGAGTCCTCCTTTCATTCTCCTGTTCCCCACTTTAATCCCTCCCATAAATGAGGGAATGAGTCACACCTGAACCTGGCTCTGGACCAGGAAAACAGCAGGAAGAATCAATCCAGCCAGCCTGTGCTCTGTTTGTAGAAACCAAGGAGACAGAGCTTTTTGGACCCAAAACCATTCTGACACTCAATAATGCTATATGGCTTTAGATGAAATTAATACAAAAATGTTTGCTAACTAATCAGATTACAGCAAGGCGAGTCTGTGTTGTTATCCATGTTGTTTTATTATTAGCGTGGTCTTCATATCCTTCTCACATTCCTCCCTCCTCCTTCAAGGTCCATATACCTTCCTATCCTGTGTGTCTGCTCATGCTGGCTTACCACACCTCTGGGCTCAGTGCAATACCACACACATCCTCATTTGGAAGACTTCCTCACCCACAGACACTTCAGTAAGGTGCTTGATGTTTGAGAAACACTCACAATGTCTCACTCTCTCTGAAGGTTTTTCTTTTTACAAAGAATATCTCATTTAATTAACTCACTATCATAAATTCAGTCTATGAATTTTTTTTAGCTCTTTAGGATTTTTTCCTACTGACTCAAAGGATGATGTGAAGCAGTAGAACCAGTGGTTGCTCAGCAGAGGCAGTGCCGAGGGTGGAACGGTGACCAGGTCTGGGCTCAAGTAGATGTGGATTGAAACCTTGGATGCAACACTTAATCACAAAGTGTCCTTGGACAAGTGAAACTGCGGGTCATGTCAAGCTTCCTTTTCCTCATTTCTAAAATGAGCAGAATAAATCCAGGCCTGGTTTTACAGGAATGCCAGACACTCTGTAAAGAGCTTATTCAGGGCTTCAAATAAGGTAATCATGAATAAATGGGAGGTTTCATCAATTCATTACTCCATCCATCACCCAAACATCCACCCCCATCCATCATTCCATTCATCCATCAACTGCTCAACAGTAACCATGAGCTTCCCCCATGACAGGTCCTGTCCTACGTGACCCAGATTCAGGACTTTGACTCTGTGGAACATACTTCTCACAAGGGAGGCAACAAACAATCCCACAAGTGAATGAGTGACATCAGTAAGCATTTGCTCTATGGAACAACAAAACAACCATGTGGAGCAGTGTCTTGTACAGAGGTCCAGGCCAGCTACAGGAGCACGGACTTTAAAGCCTGGACAAGTGGACAATGATATCAAGGGGAAGATCTAGGAAAGAGTGTTCTAGGCAGAGTGAACAGCAAGTACAGAGGCTCTGGAGCACTTGGTATTTGGCAGGATAAAGAATTCTGGAACACTGAAAAGAAATTTAAAAAATAAATAAAAATTTTAAAAAGGGGGCTTTAAGTTAGGCCCCCAGATGATGCTCAAAAACTAGAAAAATCAAGGAGCCTTCAGTTTGGGTGTTTGTGTGACACTAATTGATCCCCTATCAAGAAAAATCATGGCGTATGGGTGAATTTGTACAAGTACAGATTTTGCCCTGAATGCTTTGCATCATGGGAGAGAGAGAAAGTAGTGGCAAGAGAGAGTTATATTTGGCCTGTCTTCAAGGACATGGAAGACCTGATATATACTCATACCAATATTTTGGTCATTTGAGGACTTACCATATGTCATAAAAGTAATAACAGTCAGTGAGAGCCATCTTTTCTCAGTGTTTCATGCATTGGAACAAAAGCCTATGAAGGAGTTATTTTATTTGTTTTACTTTTTATTTTATTTTATTTTTTCAGTGTTCCAAGATTCATTGTTTATGCATCACACAGTGCTCCATGCAATACGTGCCCTCCTTAATACCCATCACTAGGCTTGTCCATCCGCCCACCCCTCTCCCCTCCAAACCCTCAGTTTGTTTCTCACAGTCCACAGTCTCTCATGCTTTGTCTCTTCCTCTGATTTCCCCCAATTCACTTTTCCTTTCCTTCTGCTAATGTCCTCCATGTTATTGCTTATGTTCCACAAGTAAGTGAAATCATATGCTGATTGACTTTGTCTGCTTGACTTATTTCACTCACCATAATCTCCAGTCCTGTCCCTGTTGATACAAAAGTTGGGTATTCATCCTTTCTGATGGAGGCATAATATTCTATTGTATATATGTCCCATATCTTCTTTATCCATTCATCTGTTGAAGGGCATCTTGGCTCTTTCAACAGTTTGGTGATTGTGGACATTGCTGCTATGAACATTGGGGTACAGATGGCTCTTCTTTTCACTACATCTGTATCTTTGGGGTAAATACCTGGTAGTATAATTGCAGGGTCATAGGGAAGCTCTATTTTTAATTTCTTAGGGAATCTTCACACTGTTTTCCAAAGTGGCTGCACCAACTTGGATTCCCACCAACAGTGTAAGAGGGTTCCCCTTTCTCCACATCCTCTTCAACACTTGTTGTTTACTGTCTTGTTAATTTTGGCCATTCTAAGTGGTGTAAGGTGGTATCTCAATGTGGTTTTGATTTGAATTTTCCTGATGGCTAATGATGATGAACATTTTTTAATATGTCTATTAGGCATTTGCATGTCTTCTTTGGAGAAGTGTCTGTTCATGTCTTCTGCCCATTTTTTGACATGCTTATCTGTTTTTTTTGGGTGTTGAGTTTGAGGAGTTCTTTATAGATCTTGGATATCAGCCCTTTGTCTGTACTGTCATTTGTGAATATCTTCTCCCACTCTGTGGGTTGCCTCTTTGTTTTGTTTACTGTTTCTTTTGGTTTTCGGAAGCTTTTGATCTTGATGAAGTCCCAAAAGTTCATTTTTGCATTTGTTTCCTTTGCCTTTGGAGATGTGTCTTGAAAGAAGTTGCTGTGACCGATGTTGAAGAAGTTACTGCCTATGTTCTCTTCTAGGATTTTGATAGATTCCTGCCTCACATTAAGGTCTTTCATCTATTTCGAGGTTATTTTTGTGTATGGTATAAGAGAATGGCCAAGTTTCATTCTTCTACATCTAGCTGTCCAATTTTCCCAGCACCGTTTATTGAAGAGACTGTCTTTTTCCCACTGTATATTTTTTCCTGCTTTGTTGAAGATTATTTGACCATAAAGTGGAGGGTCCATATCTGGGCTCTCTACTCTGTTCCACTGGTCTATGTGTCTGTTTTTGTGCCAGTACCACACTGTCTTAGTTTTCACAGCTTTGTAATATAGCTTGAAATCAGGCAACGTGATGCCCCCAGGTTTGTTTTTCTTTTTCAACATTTTGAAGGAGTTATTTCAAAATTTAGATATTCTTAAGTGGTTTTAAATTGTAAGTTAGTGATAAGGATCAACCTTGCAGTATTTGAGAAGATACCCTACATGTTTTTTCACTAATTCTGTAGAACCAGTTCTGCCCCTCACCTGCAGGATTGTAGGGACATTAACCTCAGGTGTGTTCTTTGGAAGTGAACTTCTTCCTCATTAAGATAATGCTAAAGTCTAGAACTTGGGGAGGGAGGAAGTTACACAGGCCAGCAATGTTAGGAAGTGCCTAGCCCTGGAGACATCTTGAAGGCAGTGAGATATTGGTGGTTCACAGTATATGGGCCATTCCTAGACCAGGCTCATTACTTGCCATGGGCCAAGTGTGCTATGGAGATTTCAAGGCTGTATCTCTTTGTATACTGGGAATAGTCTTGGGATTGTAATAAGTCCTCAGGACTAGACTGGGCACAGAGCAGGTGCTGTGTACATGGCAGCCACTAGTGATTCATTTTATAAAGCTGAGAAAGCTCTTATGATAAACCTTGAAGGGCTAGTAGGACCATCAGAGACCACTGGAAACTCTGTTGAACTTCACATTCTCTTGAATGATCTAGAGAAGGTCATTTTGAGATTTGAGGTTAAAATCCTATGTTTGAATAAACAGCACAGTATTTTGATCCATGCTTACTTGGTACTGTTCTGACTTCTTTTTGGAAGAGTTTTCCTGAGATATTATTTACATAGAACTTCTCTGTCAAACATATTTCACACACTATTGGTTTGTTAATCTTCTCAAAGCCCAGCAACCATGGGTGTTTATGCATTTCCAATGTTCAATAAAACATGAATGGCAAACAATAGTAGAGCAGTCACTCGAGACAAGGTACTGAAACAAACCTTTAATCTTGTCATATGCATAGGAAGAAGATGACATTTATTTTTCTGGAGGGGATACTTTAGAGTGCGAAAGAGGTCACAAAATGGATAGCATGCCAGGAGAGCAGCACAAACCAGGATTCTACTGAGAAATTTATATAACATGTGTGTTCACCCTCCCTTGGTTGGCAACCTCCTCTGCTGCTTCCCAGGTGTAATCTGGATGCAGCCTCCTTACACAGAAGGAGAGACTGAAGAAAAGGCCAGGCACTCTGGGTTGATATGTGGTAGGTTTAATAACATAGGGAGTTTACATACAAGGGTTGTTTTGGGTATCCACAAGATGGGTAGATATCTACATCCACTTGCCAGAATCAGAAAGTTTACAGAGAAGCTTTAAGTGGGTTCAGTCACATACCCCGTTCAGATGGTTTCAACAACACATTGGTATCTCAAGGCATTGGTTTGTGGAAGAATCTGGGAGTGGACCAAGCAAGTGGAACCTCCATCTCCAGGACAGGGGAAGTGGGTGAGCAGCCTCCAATTGCCTGGGTTCAACTATGTGTCAACTAGAATTCATGTCCTGTCCCCCAACACATTGCCATGATGTGAGCATATCATTTCTCCCTAGCTGCAGACAACAGGATGAGAGAGGTGAAGTAAGTTGACCAACAGCCCATGCTTGTATGTGGCAGCTGGGGTAAGGAGTCTGGTGTTGTGGCTGAGAAACAGCTCTCAACACTATTGACCTCCTTAGTTTGACCCTTACGGACGTTCCCTTTATGGCTCAAATACATTCTTGTGATCTTGACACACAGCTGTACATGTGAACTCCAGGTTGATTTCTGTGTAAGCCTGCCAGTTTTATGTGGAGGCCTTGTTCCCCAT